TAGGTAGTTGTTTATTACTAGTATGAATGACTTATCGAAATCCTATCGGAAAGTTAGTATACTTTGCGAAATAAACAGCATTAATAATATTGTAAACGACAGATCGCGATCCTCAAGTGAAGTAACCCAAGTCAAGTCAAATAAGAATACAATGGTTAGGCATGAAGTTAAAATGTATGTAGAAAAGAGATTAAAGAAAAAAATGCGAGTGAAATGTCCAGTGCAAGAAGGAAAGAAAGTGCATAAGCAACATTTTTATTGAAGAAGAAAGTGAGATGATCAGGAAGGAAGGAATATGACGAAGTAAATAAAAGAAACGTTTCGCAATTTGTGACAAGAAAACGTGAATGTGACGTAGTGGAAGAATGAAATGATTTGAATAGAATTGCATTGAACATTGCGGCAAAGGCTAGGTGTGCTAACAGGGCTTAATGGGGTGATCCTGTTGTAATATAGATAATACGAAGTGGAAATGTAGAAAATAGATTAAATATATAAAAAGAAAATATAGAAATATCTAAGTGGAAATGTGAATTAAACTTGGTTGTGCAGAGCTAATTACAGAATTTAGAAGACTGGGTTCGACCAATTCAATGAACAAATTGCAAACAGTTTTAACTTATCAGGGAGCTAAGCAGGCGAAATACGAACAACGAACGTCTTTAGAACGATTAGGCTGCTAACGATTGGCTGCAATTATTAATAAATTAATTATTTTTGAAGCCATTACAGAGTGGAGTTTGTAAATAAGGAAATTAATGCAATTCAAATACGAATAGTTATATTATTTTACAAATAAGTATTACTACATTGAAATTGATGTCGACGTCTGCCTAGAATGAGAAGCGCTAGTAAGGCAGCGAAAAAAATTTCTTCCATCCGGGGAGCAGTTTTGTAAATGCAAGGAACACGTGGCTTCTGACGAAATGCAAAACGCATTTTGTATTCTCCTAAATATTAACAATACACATAGAGGCTAACTGATTTCCTCTCTTCAAGAGATTGGGAACGATACCGGGAAAAATACATTTCCATTTAAAAAACAAAGTTGTGAGAATACCTCCAAAACTAATATTGTTACAAAACAAGAAAATACAATTTTATTTGCCCCATTATCTACAATTTGTCTCAAACCGCATCATAATACCTCCAACCAATCCGGTTTAGGTGGCTCAGGGCATCAATTGATCTACTGCAGTGCCTCTAACGGGGAGGTCATGGGGTTCGAGTCCCGACGGTGGCAGGATTTTCGACACTGGCTGCATAGATTGGTCGAATTCAGCTGCTGACTGGAGCATTCTAGCGTCCAGCTGCTCTGATCGGTAGTTTTCGTGATTTCTCCAATCAGTATTAGATGAATGCCGGGAGAACAGTAGGGAGCTTAGCGCTTAACCCGGCTGGAGCGGTTCCTCGTTTGTGGAGATACCTGGTTGCGGGAGGGGAAAACCCGTAAATCGACATGTAGGATCGCATCTTACCATCAAGACGGGGAATATCACCCCACCTCACAATAAAAGTAGCACTACACATACGGGACTAATGACTGTAGCCGTTGCGTGCCCATAAACACAAAACAATCAATCGCTCAACTAAATATTTTCGATGTGTCCAACTTCTGGGGTCCACCTGAATAGGTCAGTTGAAGCCTCACAACGCATTTCCAACTAGGCGTTGAAGCCCGGTCTTCGGCTTTCGCGATTCACATAAAGCAATACAGAATCTGGGCAACGCATAATTTACAAGGATTTTTAAAAAAACTATGAAATAATTATGTATTGCTAATATTCTTTACAGAACTCTGGTGAGTGTTTCTTTTTACCTGATCATCTGATTGCCCCACCCCTCTCGGAAAAAGTACCACAAAAACAAGTAAATTCAATACTTTTGTCTTTCCAATATAAGATTTCCGTCCTTATCACCTCTTCAAGTTAGCTTTAAATGTATGCGGCTTCACTCAAGTGCTGCACCCACTTCAGACCCCCCCACCCTCCCATTTGTGATTCAGGGTTAGTGTTATCTCAACCAACCCCACCTGCGTCAATTGATTGCATTCGAAACATCTGTTCCTGTCATTAAGAGTGTCATCTCTTATTTTCCACCTCCTCAATATGTAACGTGCCGTCTTTCTGACCGATAATATCCTTCAAGATAATTTCTGAAAGTAAAATTTTGTTAAGAAAACGTAGATGAATGCCGGGAGAACAGTAGGAAGCAAGCGCTTAACCCGGCTGGAGCGGTTCCTCGTTTGTGGAGATACCTGGTTGCGGGAGGGGGAAACATCTGTTCCTGTCATTAAGAGTGTCATCTCTTATTTTCCACCTCCTCAATATGTATTATGTTATGTATATATTATGTTATTTGTATTATATCAATATATATTATATAGTATGTTACACAACTGTAACACATCACGCGAGTTACACTTCTCTAGTGCATTTTCCCGAGACAATTGCCATACACAAACACAACCGCTCCACCCAAATTTCCTTCCAAGAACGTTCTTTTGCATGTCGTATTTATTCGAAACCTCTTCTTTCTTAATACTTTCTTATTCTTGCAACTAAGTGATGAAAAACAATTGCCTCGCCAACTTCCTTTCTTACTTTCATTAAGAACATTGGTCCCAAGATTCTCACTAGGAGCTTTCCAACAAGGAAATATGTGAGATTAAACAAAAGAAAAATTAAAAATAGAAACAGGTAATCTTGGGAATCAGAAAGAAAAATGTGCAAAATGTTCGTCGCAAAATAAGTGAAAAATCTCATAATCCGAAAAAAAGGGCCCATTACTATGTGATAAACACGTATCAGACTTCTAGGGAAGTTTCTATAGCTACTGAGAGATGTGAGTATGAGTGTGAGTGTGATTGTGAAAGTGAGTGTGAGAATGCGAATGTGTTAATGCGAGTGTGTGAATGCGACTGTATGAACGCGAGTGTGTGAATGCGAGTGTGTAAATGCGAGTGTGTGAATGCGAGTGTGTGAATACGAGTGTGTGAATGCGAGTGTGTGAATGCGAGTGTGTGAATGTGAGTGTGGGATTAAGAGTGTGAGTGTGAATGTGAGAATGTGAGTGTGAGAGTGTGAGTGTGAGAGTGTGAGTGTGAGAGTGTGAGAGTGTGAGTGTGAGAGTGTGAGAGTGTGAGGGTGAGTGTGAGAGTGTGAGTGTGAGTGTGAGAGTGTGAGTGTGAGAGTGTGAGTGTGTGAGTGTGATTGTTATAGAGAGTGAGTGTGAAAGTGTGTGTGAGAGAGTGTGAAAGTGTGTGTGTGAGAGAGTGTAAGAGTGTGAGTGAGTGTGTGTGTGGTTTCGAATTTTATTGTCAGTCGTGATCTTCAATTTCCACAATTCCCCCTAACCTAACCTCAGTAGACGCTTCGCCATTCATTTTCGAAATCGACCTGCGGGCAACGAGTCCCGGCCTTTGCAATTTACATTAATTTCGGCGCTGCCATCTGAAATTCTATATACAAGTAGAACTCTTTAAGAGAAATTCAAAGGTTCAAACCAAACTCAAATCAGACACCAACTATCCGAGAAAGACGAGATACAAAATGGAGCCCCTAGTGATCAAGTTCAAAACACCCCCATTTCGTGATAAATTTGGAAAAATATAAATTTCGGTGCTGCCATCTGAAACTATGTATAAAAGTAGAACCTTTTTAAGAGAAATTCAGAGTTGCAAACCAAACTTCAATTAGTCGAAAAGTTTTCAAGATAGAAAAGAAACAGAATGAAGCCTCAAATGATCAAGTACAAAATACCCCCCCTTTACGAGACAAATTTGAAAAAATATTAATTTCAGCGCTGCCATCTGAAAGTCTGTATACAAGTAGAACACATTTAGAGAAATTTGAACGTGCACACCAAACTCCAATCAGATGAATAGTTTTCGAGGTAGACGAGAAACAAAATGGAGCCACAAGTGGTCGAGTACAAAATACCCCCCATTACGTGACAAATTTGGAAAAATATTAATATCGGCGCTGCCATCTGAAATTCTGTATACATGTAGAACTCTTTAGACAAATTCAGAAGTGCAAACCAAACTCTAATCAGACAAATAGTTTTCGAGGTAGACGAGAAACAAAATGGAGCCTCAAGTGGCCTAGTACAAAATACCTCCCCGTTACGTGACAAAATGGAAAAATATTAAACAACCTTGTGCCTGTGTAACGTACAACTTCCACTGTTGTTTTATGTCAGAACTCTTCTCGCGAACAAAAGACACCTCACACTAGAACAACCAATTTACTTTAGGCAGCGCCTTATCGATAGTATTAATTGTAGCAGGATAGTGTCCAAAATGAGCTCATCGTCATTTAAATAGCTGTATACAAATCATTAGGCTAACACACATATTAATCGGGTAATTCACGAATTTGTGTGACCACCCACGAAATTCTGAATGGTTAGCGATTTCTAAATAAAGGTTTCGCCCAACAATGCGGAATCATGGGACACGTACATTGCTTGTAAAATTACTTAGATACATTCCTTGTAAATTTTTTAGTTTTCGAAAAATTTAATCATCTTTGGTTTTTAAATAGAATAGTACTTTTTAAACGTTCTGGCATGTCACTTACGAAATATTCGTATCAAGTACTTCAATACTACGGCTCTAAAGAAGATGATAATAATAAAGGTCATTGTCAAACTTAACAAGAATCGAGTTCTATGTGTTCGGGCTGTAGAAACAAGCATTGTCTGTAGTATTTTAAAGTAAAGCGGTTCAAGTACAAGGGGATGGAATGAATGGCTGAAGTTTTTACTATAATGTCCCTAGATTATTCATTAGAACGTAAATAGAAAGACATTTTTTATTATTAGTATTTACTGTTGCTCGACTTCTTACTCAGTACATCGGTGTATCAGAGGATAAAATTAAACTAACTTATAAATTCCCTTGAAATAAAATAACTGTTTTTAACATACAAACAAAAAATAAAATGTAGATAACTACAGAGAAACAAATAAAAATTTGTACACAATTATTTACACACCTGTTCCATGTTCCATTACACACCCTGTCGACAGCAATGCATATCCGTGTGCAAGAACCGATGAACTGACTGCAATATTTCACGATTTATAGCATGACAAGCTGTCTCAAGTCTTCTAGAGACGTGGGCACTCGCACATACAAAATTTTCTCGATGTTCCGCCCCAAACAATTTAATGTCTTGCGGTCTGGAGGACGTGTGGTCCAATTTATCACACCACCACGCCCAATCTTTTTAATTTGGATATTCTCGGTGTAGAATGCGTCTTGAAACACTGGCAAAATATGAAGGGCAATTCTGGCTGAAAATATATCTCATAACGCATGCGTAGTGCTACTTATGGCAAAAGTAATATGTCTTGCAAAAAATATTATCTCACATTACCAGTCATCGATTTTTCAAAGAGAATCAATTACTAAAGTTACCAATCGTTCTTTCCAATCATCGATGATTTTGAAATTCCAGTAAATGGAAGAAATGTGCAATTCTGATGGATCAATGGAAAAAATTATCATTCTTATCGTTAATACTGATGTTTGTTTCTTGTATTCATCGTGTCAAGATCATGTAATATTTCTTTAATTGCTCTTCTATCCCACACTGCCTCTCCTCTTAATCTCCCCTCTCTAACACCACCTAGACATACACTGTGTTACTCGTATACTAGATATTGTACTTACTGTAATCTAGGTGGCGTTGCCCCTCTCGCAGTAACAGGGCTGTGGCCGCGAAGGCCACCTCCCCTCAAAGACGACCGTTGAAAGCACTGGCGTCCACAGAAAGCAAGGTGCCTGGCCTACGAGTTAGAGTAGACTACATAAAGTGGCTGAAGCGCCTCCATCTTTGCGGTAAATTGAAGCCATGTTTCTTGCAGTCAAAGCAGCGCCCTCTTGAGAAACAGAGTATTCTAGTATTTCGTTTGGCGTCGGTTAAGGCCGGGTGGGCGCGGGCTGCGCGTAATATAAATCCTCTTACTCTGTGTTCCACGACCAAAACCCAATCATCTAAAAGCGAAATCACAACATGTAAGGAGAACGAGTTGAGAAACTTTAAAAACACGTTGATTCCCACATCTGTTACTGTCGTAAGAAAGAAAGCTGTTGAAATGTTATTGTAGTTATCATTACGCCTGAAAGTGAATGTTAATGCAATAAGCACCAAATGAAAAGATCGCAAATGAGGCGGTAAACTTGAAAAAATATTTATTTGTGATTTGATGGCTCATATTTTTACAATTATATGCCGAACATACTGAAGACATTGTGCATATTATTATTCTAACCAGAAATATAATTTAAACACTGATAAACAAAAGCAACATAGAAATAAGATCTGATACAAAAAAAAAGTCCATTCAGCACAAATGTTCTACACGCCACCATCAGGCACGGCTTATGTTTTGACTGCAAAAGAACATGGCGGCCTGTAGTTCATCGAGCGTCCCCAAAGAGCGCTGAAACCATTGGTCCCTCTATGTAGTACATTGTAGATCGTTGGGTTTGTGGCAGTAGAACCACAGAGTCTCAAACAAAAGTTCCGCCCTCTCCTACATAAGAACAAAAATAAGTTCTCCGTGCAACAGAAATGACTTATAGCGATTAATTTTAAGTACAAGTAAATACATTTTTACATGCTTTGAAAGAAAATAATTTGTACATGTTTTGAAAGAAAAATAATAATGAAGTCGGGGCCAGAAACAAATTTCCCCAGGTGCCTTTCCCCTCCTGGGCGCCCCTGGTTACAAAGGGTTCTAAAAGGACATATTGTACGTTTAGTTCTAAATTACATGCCAGAAAAAATATTGAAATTACTATTAAAATAGTAACAAATGATTCAGCGTTTTATTTTGTTACCATTGAGCGAAATAAATCATATACTTGTAGTTTTTATTAAAAAAACTCATGGATGGTTAAATTTTTGAAAAATAAAAATATTACAAACAATATGTCTGTGGCATACTACTTGCCCCATCATTCAGCACTGTTGGGAGAAAATTACAATTTGTGAACCATTTAAAAGTTAAGTGGATGGTCTACAGTTTTTGGGACACAAGATATATGTACAGTTAGTGAAGCCATTCTACACTTCTACACAACGTTATAAGCTAAATGTCTGTTAGAGCAAAATACGAAATACAATAAGTATGTCAAGATAAAATGCAAATGAATATTAAAATTTATATGAACTATGAAAGAAAATCCCCAAAGACAAATGTAATATCTAAAAATGAAACAAAATGCTAAAGAATGCGTCCGTGCGGACGGCGTAGAAACTGATCGTCCAGGTGACGTAATGAAGGGAAATGTAGTAATGAATTTGTTAACATTCTTTGATTCATATAACTAGACATAGCACTGACAAAGAGCATAGGATCCTCAGTAAAACGTTGCCAGCACATAAAGGGAGGTGAAAATGTATAGCAATCGTACAGGAATTAGAGATGCTTCAAGAAATTATTTATAAAATGTATCAATAAATACAAATCTTTACAAGAGATACCTCAATTTGTAAATAAACCTCGTTCAAGAATGCAATAACTAATTCATATGCTTTGTGTACAAACAGTGAGAAATCGTCCCGAAGTAGAGAGGCCAAAAGTGTTTACTAAAGCAGATAAACGATTTATTATTCCAGAAATTAAGAATGGCCCCACCAAAAGTACTCAAATTGGGAGAAGAATTCAGAAAACATGAAGTTGAAGTGTCAGGTAGCGCACAGCGGAACATAGGGGAAATGGTATCATTAGCGGAAACAAAATTAGTGAATAAAGCAAATCACATAAAGCGATAGAATTGTGCAGAAGAATACCGAAATAAATGATCGGAGTTTTGGAATTTCGTCATATTTTCTGACGAAAGCAAAAATAACCTGTTTGTTTCCCACGGAAGAGGCATGGTTTGCCAGAATTGGATCCTCGAAATCTGATACAGAGAGTGAAACGTGATGGGGATTCCAATCAATTTTGAGAGTGTGTGAATACCTCAAGAGTGGGTCGTCTTCTTGGAGGCGATGGCGATTATGGAACGCAAGCTGTGATTTCGCACACCTTCACGTTAATGTGCTGGTCATGGGTCTGGGAAATAAAGTTTGTGTTTCATCATGACGTACTCCAAAACGTGCTTTCGACACTCGATTGCGAATGCTCTGCAACCCCAAGAAACATATTCATACACTTCCACACAATTCCCTGATATTAACCTTGCAGAGCGTCTGGGGTAGGTTTTTGGAATAAAAAATAGAAATATAGTTTGCCTATTAAATAGCATCTTAAACATGCTCCCCTAAGAGAATGACGTTTAATCGTCCACACGACTAGGACAGAGTTGGTTCATGCCGCGAAGTCTTAAGACAATAATGAAAGCAAATGGAAATCCTACAAATATTTTAAGAGCATTACTTTTTTATTAGAATGTATTTTTGTTTGTCAATATCATGGGAGTTTTAATATACTGATCTTTTGTAAAATGAAATAAAAGCCGAGTTTTCTGTAGACTTAATTCTCTTATATACATATTTTTCTAACTCTTCGTTCGTATTCGTTTTTAGCAAAGATTCCTAAGTGTTCGAATCCCACTTTCGATCTCCACAAACCCTATAACTAAGAATACATTGGATTGGTGAAGTAATTACACGCATGTGGCTTTCTTTACCACATGATGAGTGATTATATTGTATAAATTACATCGTTACCATGTGTTATATTTTTAAAATATCAAAATTAATCTCAATTAATTTAGAAATCAAAAAATGTGCAAAGAGCGTACAATTGCAGTTGTAATAAATAATCAAACACATGAAGCCGTGCTTGTTCGATCTCGTTTAGAATATTCAGAAGATAGATAATTACTACTAACCCAGGCACGGCAAACCATGAGCTACATATGAATTGTAAACATGTATGCGTGGAATTCAATAAAGTTTTGCGTTTTTATTTATGTGAATTCGCTAGAAGATTTGCTTAAGATTCAATTTCTGACGAGTTTGCTTTAAAAAAATCTGCAATATTAATAAAATGATATTGTGAAATTGTTTTGAAGTGATGAACAATACTTCAACTTGTACAGTTCAGCTATTCATAGTTATTTTAAGAATCAGAACATTCTAAAATTTGCCATTCTTTAGTTATTAAAAACTATGGAAGAAATTATAGGTTTCCTTTTATAATCTACCATGTGGCAAACAAAAATACACTTAATAATAAAATCAAAAGCAAAGTTGAGACTTTTGAGAATAATTGAGATTCCAGGCACGTGCAGAGAGTCGATAACGTGCAACGAAAGATAAGCAATACATTTTGTGAATATAGTATAAACATTCTCGTACGTATAAGTATTATCATATAAAGTAAATGAAACAAACGACTGTCACTTGCAAGTTCTAATGATGTTATATTGATTCAATTCGCCACCCAGAATTATTTTTGAGTGTGAAAAAAATCATGGCAATTGAAATGTAAGATGTTTACCTTACATCACATCTATCATCAGTTAAACGGAATAATTTTTTCAGGATTTTGTTTTTCAAACTATGAATATTTTATTATTATTATTATTATTATTATTATTATTATTATTATTATTATTATTATTATTATTATNNNNTTATCATTATTATTATTATCATTATTATTATTATCATTATTATTATTATTATTATTATTATTATTATTGTATTACGTATCATATTATATTCCGCCAGTCTCAGCTGTCAGGCGATTTCTCTGGATTCGGATTTTACCTGCTCGTAATGGTAAGATCTGGCAAGTTATGTTCAAATTCCATTTGGGCTCTAATCTGGTCTCTGCAGCGACTCAGACCCGGAGGTCCTAGGGTTCGAGTCCCGGATTATCGACACCAGCAACTAGACAGGCACGTTGAATTCAGCCGCTGTCTGGAGGACAATTGTATTTGTCGACAGCCCTGTACGGTAGTTTTCCTCGGATACTGCTACCAATAACGCACGAATGCTGGGTCAGAAACCTAAAACAAGGGTCATTGACCGCATTCAATATTTCCTTCCTATCCTCTCCGTTCCTCCCATTCATTGTACTCGTCTCTCCCCCTTACTTACACACACACACACACACACACACACACTTACATGCATACTACGACACATACCACATAGCTTAGAACTTGTGCCGGCTATGGCGGTGTCCCAACGGGGGACTCGCCTAAAGGGAGAAGAACAAGAGTATGTCGGCGCCAAATCTCACCATCCAGCTGAGGAGAAGCACAGCCAACTCTCATGAACAATTATTTACTACTCTAATTGGATTCATGACCTTAGCAGTTGACTTGCCCGGAAACATCAATCAATCCTAACGAAAACCTGACAAAATGATGAAATTTCAATGTATTTTCATGTATAGAGGTCGTATACAGAGTAGTAGAGTTATTTTTTCCTCGACTGCACGTCATCACTATCCTTCATTTCCATTACTTTGTGCTCAGGTTCCAGAAAAGCAAGGGAACACGCTAAAATGGCGTTATTTGCAATTTCCATTTGATTCAGGAATTCAGAGATTGTTTCTTGCTTTAGTCTTATCTTTTCTACTTAAACTCGAATGTTAGCCTTTTGATCGATTCTCCGTTTGTTTCTACAAACGTGATAATATTTTAATGGTGTTTTTCCTAGGCGAACGCACCGCTAAATCTTATTCCATAATTTTAAAGACATTCTACGAATTGTTCTTTGTTCTACATTTCTCCTGCCGAGGGACAGTCTCGACCCCCACAGGATCACTCTGAGAAGAAACTCGCTTTATTGAAAATTAGCTTATTTACGTAGATGAATTTTAATGAAACAGTTGTTTTGCTT